TCTCATCCTTTGGCAGGTTCTTCGCTTGCATGTTCCTGTTCAGGGGAGCAGCTGCCTCTGAGCAGGCTGGGCCTTCCAGAGCCAGTTCCTGCCAATTGGAGAGTGCTGGGAGGAGTGCTTTGCATAAACCAGCAAAATGCACTCTCTCTCCTCTAAATAAAAACTTAAACACCCTTTTGCTTTATGTATCAAGGACAGATTTTTCTCAGAAACACTTCTTCTACTTACAAATTCTGGTATATTTTATAGTCTACACTGAATTCTTAGGCAAAGTTGAGAATTCTCACAAACACATAGTTTCTGCAGTATAATGCTTGTTGGAGAAGGAAAATCAGTTATTCTGCTTTGTTTGTAATTAGATTTTGGTATAATCTGGGGAGAGTTGGGAATTCCACGTCATTCATTAAGGCAGAACAGGATCCACTCCATGCTTGATAAAATGGACAGGCTAGACACTAGTAGTTGGTTTATTATTGTCCTTCCTACTGGTTGACTTAGCATCCTAATTGTGTCTTCACTCCCTTTCCCATGAAACTCATGGGAAGTAGGGAACCTTCATCCTTCACACTGTCAGGAGAAAGTTTCTCAGAGTTGGATAATGCGATCTTTGAGACCTCACAAAACTAGTGTGTGTTGAGCATGCTTTTTTTTTTCCGATTCCCCCCGACCCCTTAGCATGCTTCTTTAAGGGTAATATCCAGGAGTACATATTTGGTCAGGATAACTATTTAGTAGAAACCACATTTAAATAAAAAATAAAAGCAAAACTGATGTGTCCTACATTAAACTCCACAAATGAAAACTCAGCTGGAAAAATAGGCTATGGTCTGATTATATGCCATGTTTCACTTTATTAGGTAGTCATCCATATATTTGAGTAGGAGAATAGAAGATCTGTGTTTTAGAAGATCATTCAGGAGAGAACAATGAGATTGAAAAGCAGGAAGATCAGCTACAAAGTTATGTGAAGAGTCTGAATAAGACTCTTGCACTAGGTAGTAACAGTAGATGATACTGATTTCAGAAACAGCCAACTAAATCCTGCTTGTTCAGGGCACGATTTTCTCACAGAGTAATATTTGTTCATTCCTGTTTCACTAGGAAAGACAAATGGTGGTGACCAGAGGAGTGTTTCATCTCACAGAGAAAGCCAGATCAACAAGGAGTCTAAGAAAGATGCAGCCCGGCTAGACCATTTGATGCAAGGCTTAGAGGATGGTTGTGTGGCACCCCCTTTAGCCACTTCAACCCCTGCAGACATCCAGGAATCTGGACTTTCTCCTCAGTCCCTCCAGACTTCTGGCCACCACAGAACGGGAACCCCATTTTTGTCTGTGTTATCTTTGCTCCAGCCTGATACCCTAGATTGTGCTGGAAAGAGTAATGCCTCACTGGCTTTTTCATTCACCCAGGACTTGGAAAGTTCTTGTTTGCTGGACCAAAAGGAGGGAGAGACGGATTCTGCCAGGAAAAGGGAATGGCTTCATGGATCTAAGAAGAACTATCAGGGCACGGAGAAACACATCAAACCACCTAGGGACAAACGCTGTCAGCCCTTGGACAAGACTAAATTAGAAAGGAAGGAGTCTGCCAAAGAAAACAGGCAGGCTCCTGTCCTTCAAACTTACAGGGAATCCTGGAGTGGAAAAAACACAGAATCAGTGAAACAAAGTCCTCATCCTGTTTCTGTGTTTTCCTGGGATGGTGAAAAGGACAAGGACTCCTGGAGTCAGCTTTTCACTGAAGATACTCAAGGCCAGCGAGTCATTGCTCACAACACTAGAACTCCTTTCCAAGATGTAACCAATAACTGGAATTGGGGCTTAGGGCAGTTTCCTAACAGCCCTTGGCCTCAGTACCAGGATGGGCCAACACAGTTAAATCTGAAGCCTGATTCACTCTTTACCCAGGACTCTGAAGGTAACCAAGTTATCAGGCACCAATTCTAAATGTTTTTATGAGAGTTGTTAAAAATACCTTAAAATGGCAGATATGTAGGGAATTATAGTTGGGGATGGAGAGGGTAGTAGAATGAGTTTGTTTAGGTGGGAAGGAGGGATAGGATGAAGCTGTCGTCATTACTGAGCATTTTGTGTGTAAATAAAGCAGGTGGTGCCGTTGTCAAGACTGTGATTGGCATGATGGCTTTCCCTTAAGAAGAAAGTGACTAGCAAATTCCCTGAAGGAGTCTTTGATGAGCGCTGAGAAGGTAGGGTGGGTATTTATCCCTCCACTGAAGAGCTTGTTACTCAGCCTGCAGAGCCACCTCTTTGCCTTTTCAGTTGCTGGGACCTTGCTTCTTGTGAATGTGTGTTCTTTTAGTCTCTGGTTGTAATCTTACCCACTCAATCTAAGCTTGGGATGATTATCCCTGATCCCTTTTTAAATACGGCAAATCTCCCCACAACCCAGGTGTGTGGGAGCAAGTAGAGAGAGAGGTAGAATGGTGGTAGTTACTTTATTTTTGTGGTAACTGTATAGCATTTTAAATTTATGTACTCTATGTTTAAAGATCTCTCCCTAAGTTACTCTTTTCCCACAAGGTGGAAGGGACTCCCCCTTTTAAAACTACGATTCCAAGTAAATGTTTCCAAAGCTGGCTCTCGTGGTAATTAAAACATTACCAATTTTATTTTTGAAAAAATAACATTTTAATAGTATATGCTGTCATTGCCCTGGGTCTGATCTGAACACGAGTCTGGTTTGACCTATGTTCCACCCAAGGCATTATCCTTGGCAGTTTCTCGTGTTCCAGGTGTGGTATCTAAGAGGCTTAAAAACCTCTAGGTGGCAGATTTGCAGGTTATAAGATAGAACTGTTTTTTTTAAGAGTTTAGGGCAAAATCTCTACAGAAAGGGGGAAGGAAGAAACCCCTTAGGGAAGTTTTCTCTTATAAGGTCAGGACCTTATAAGGAAAGAGGGGAAACCAGAAGCCTGTTTAAAAAAGTTTCTAAAATTCATAGGAATCCTATACCCTTGAGGGATTCTGGGTAATCACAACTCAAGAGATGGACACAGCATATGCATTCTCTCTCCAAATCCTTCCTTTAATGTCAGGTAGTACTTCAACCCAAACACACATAGTATACATACCATAGAGAAAGGGACCTGAGGGCATCTGAGTCATGCATGGTGTGGCAGGTACAAACCTTGGCCCAACCCAAAGGAGCAGTCAGGGGCCTGGAAGAAAGATGGTATGTTCTTTCCCCTCCCTGTTTCTCTTTCCTACCAGGCTTAAACTGAAGTCCGTGGAAGAGAAAGTTTTTAATCAATCAGTGGAACTGATGAGACCACAAGGCCTTGGAGGGTAGATTTGGTTGTTCAGTATTATAAAATGTTTAAGAACAAAACAGCCCAGGCTTCCCAGTGCAGCCCAAGTGTTGGCTGGTTCAGTGGCCCAGCCTCTACGTCTAGACAGGGAAGGGGAGAGGGTGATTGCAGGGCATTGGTGTAGGTTTATGATGGAGCAGCATAAGATTTTCCCTGCCCTGTGAACATGTACACAAACATTTATAGCTCCTTTGGCTCTATCCTGCTCTGCTGCAAGGAAGCCACTGAGAGTGAGTGACAGCTGAGCACAAAGTGTCCAATGAGACCAGTTATGGGGTCTAATGCAGTGAAGTCATTCATTTAGGACCTATTTTCACACAGGGATGAGGAAAAACCAGAAACTTCTGTCTTACCCTTTAAAACTGAGACACTGCATTCTACACGATTACCTGCAATAAATCACAGGCCTTAGCTTCTGCTAGACTTTGAAGTAGGGGAAACACATAATCCAGCTCTTCTCTTTCAGTCCAAGCTCTAGCTTGTCAGCAAGACTGTTGCAGAAGATTTCTCATTGAGAGGCAGAAACATCTGCGGTGAGGAAGGCAGCTATTAAAGGAATTCCAGGAGCATGAGACTGAGTTTACAGGGCCGAGTGTTGTCAGTTTCCTTTTCTACTGGTATCTTCTTCCTTCAGTGCAAACTTCCTCCTTAGGACCTCAGAGATAAGCACAGCAGGGTCTTCCTCCTTCAATAAACTCCGGTTCCTGGAGACACAATAATAATAGCTTATCTTTATTGAGTACTTACTCTGTCCTGGGCAGTGTTCTGAGTCTTTGCATACATTATCTCACTGAATCCTCACAACAGCCTCAGGAGGTAGGTGCTATTACAATTCCCCTTTACAAAAGAGGAAACCAAAACACAGAGAGGGTATACAATTTGCCCAAAGTCACTAGTCACTCAGCAAGTAAATGGTGAATCCAGAGTTTGAAACCAAACTAGCTGGTTCCAGATCGCCTCTCTCAACTAAAACGCTTTACTGTTTTTTGGAAGTGGCTATAAACCACGGGCAATGTAAACAACCATCAATCTGTTAAGAGTTGGTCTCTGATGGCTAAGCTTTTGCCCCTACCTTTTGGCCCTATCTTAGTGGCATTTCTCCCCAGTCAGCAGGGGAGGTGACTGATGACTCTTGGCCATTCTGACCGTTAATAGTTCTGGGGAAAATGTATGCTAAGGATTTCCTACTACCCTGTCTCCCGCTCAGGGGAGCTGAAAGATCTTTTTAATAAGAGATCCAGAATTATAGCACAATATTCAGAACAACAAGGAACTTGTGGGAAGAAAACCAACTCTATGGGGGTGGTCTCAAATTACCTGATACACCATATATAAGAGGGTCATGGATACCTGTAAAATAGATGCTTGAAATTCTAGTGAACGTACATACATACATCCCCATGAAGGTGTTTTACTGGTCATTAGGCAAGATATAGGGCCAAGATTGTCTATTAAACCTTGAAAACAAAAACAAGAGGAATTGCCTTTGGTCTGTTACATTTCTGAATCTATGCTGACTAGGCTACTTTCCCATTCTTAGTCATCAACCCAGCTCCTTCTGGTCCCAGGACACAAGTGAGAAGAAGGGGTTGGCAACAAGAGTCTTGGATCTAATTTGGTCCAAGAGGCTAGTAAGAGAAAGTTTGAGAGTCAATCTATAAAACATTGTGACTGGAAGAAAATTCAGGGAAGACCAAAAACAGCAGCAACTGAATTTGGGAATGTGGGAGACCAAAGAGCTGCAGGTCAGTATGACCGACGTGGTTAGGACCAGAGAAAGGAGGTAAGACTGACTCCTAAAGGAGGTAGCCACTTAGCCTGGTCTAGTTTTCAGTGGGAAATGGGGCCCAGGAAACAAAAATGGATCCTTGCATAGGGTACATAATGTTCCCTTCAATAGGAACTTCATCAACACAGGAGAAAAATTTCACCTCCCAGTACCTAGAATGGCTTTATATCTGTATTAACAAACACAACTGCACACCCTGGGCACTGGCCATCAAGGTCTAGATCTCAAACTTCAATGCCCAAACCTACATTTGAACAAGCTCCTCTGGTGAGTCCTTTACAGCTGCTCAAGTCACACTTGGAGAAACACTGTGCAAAGGGGGTGACTCCCTGAGACTTCTCTGCTAAACGAGTTTTTCAAGGTAGGTATTACCCAAATTCCCTCATATGCCATCAGAAAAACCTAGAGCTTCACTCCTTGGGGATTCTGTTTTAGTAAGTTGAAGGTATATTTTTAACAAATCTGAACAATTCTGATAAGCAGCTAGATTTAGGAACTACCTATGAGTCTCAAAAATCTTGTTCTCAAATCCCTGAATTTGCAGGGTTGGTTTGCATAATGGACCACTGTATTTTAAAGCAGACAGAAACTCCCAACTTTATGAAATTCTCCTTCTACGAGAAGTCTACCAATCTGAGATACCAAACACATGTCATGCAACCCCCTATTCTGAAAGGTGGAACATGGGGACACTGTCACTAGCAGTATGAGAACTGAAGTGGTAAAGCCACCTGAGGACAAAAGTTGGACTGGATGAGCCTTCTTTGTAAAATCCCTACTAGTCTAATATTTGGTTGGGGTGACCTAACTCAACAAATGTAAAATGTTGCTCTTTTCTCAAACCGGGGCCCCTGGCACTAGCAGCAGGTAGTCAGCAAGCTTTGAGAACGATGTAACATGGCTACTACTGAGGACTTACTATGTAAGTATGTTTGTTGTATTAGATCACTGGCCACAGGCAACTTAAAGAATAAATAGATCACCAGACCTCATCAAATACTTACAGATCTTGGCTCTGTTTCATCCGGTGAAAGTCCTTCAGGATACCCATCATGTCTGCAAAGCTGCTGGCTTTAGACAGAGAGATGCAGTCATCCTCTTCAGACGAGCTGCAGGTAGTTTTGTGTTCTGGTTTGCAACATTCAGGGCTGGCAGAACAAAGCAGGGGGACTGATGGAAGCTCAGGTACCTCTACCTCTGTCTCCTCGGTGATGTCACTAATGACAAAGGAAGTTGTAGAGTGGAATGAGGATCCAAAACAAGGTAAGGGAGAAGAGACATTTGAACTTCCTGGAGATAAGAAATCTGGCGTTAATGAAGCCGAAGCTGAAAGAGAAAACAACAGGCATGGATGGACATTGGGACTAGAATACAGTAGCAATATCTTCTCCCCACAGCACCATCTACCGAATATTCATTTCCTGGGCTGACGCCATGAAATTTTGCAACACCCAGGATAGTATCTGTAGCCACTACACTTCTCACTCAGGGGCTCAAAAAGATATAGAAGCACTGGGCTTTTCCAGTGATCCAGGAAGGCAGAAAAACGCAGCCCATAAAGGCGTGGCTCCTAAAAGCTCCCATTCCACAATAGGCAATGGAGTGACAGCCCTGTCTTAGGTTGGAGCAATAGTGACAGAGTTAAGGCCTGATTTGTCCTTTTCTCTAACTGGGCTAGTGCTTTTGACTATGCTCCCTTGTATCTTGCTATCTATGAACTAGAACAAGTGCTCTAAGCAAAACTAGAATGGTAAGGCCTCTGAGAGTTTCCTGAATTTCAGTGGGGAGAATTTCCTCAATTTCTAAAGTTTAAACAGCACTCTGATTTTTCATAAACTACTGCTTATCTCTTCAATGACAAAAAAAAGTAGCCAAGAAGTATAAATGGAAAATTTGAGTGCAATTTTTCCATAAAACTTCCACGTGAGAGAATTAAATACATGAAGATTTCAAAGAGAACACCACAGTTTTCGTGTGCTCTACCAACTGGTAAGTTTGGAAGCTACTATATGACTTTAAGTCAATGAGGAGTGGAAAAAATGAGGATGGGGGGAATATGAGGATAAACCCTGAGCATGTTGGGAGACATCCACCTGTTGGCTGTCCATGCCTCTGGTCAAGGCAGGCTCCCATCAATTTCCAGTGGTTCCACCTTAACTGCAGACAGAAAGCTGGAGGGACAGAGAGGTGATCTCTGGTAGAAAGGACAAGGAAAGGGAAGATAGGTGTTTATAGGGAATATGTCTCTTAGTAGTAGTGGTGGTGGTGGTGAATACTTATTTTTCACATTGAAAAGGAAAGCTGCTTTAGGCTTATGGAAGATGTGATCTTAAAGACACTTCGAAGAGGGTGTTGGTTTTTGTGGCTAAGGGAGGGAATCTGCCTGAGGCCATAGGTTAAGTGAAGATTTTGTTCCTAACCAAACCATTCAGCCCAAAATGGCCGGTAGAAACCATCCAAGAGGCATGACAGGCTAGCCAAACCTCACAGCCTGGGCCTAAGTCCCTCTAAACGGGGGACCACCATTTTCCTTATCCTTATTCCCAAAAGCTGGGAGTGAAGGGACAGCCTGCTAAACTCTGGCCCTGGCTCAGGGGCTCCTACCTGCATCAGCTGCTACTATCTTGGCAATCTGGCTGCGCAGGTGACTCAGTTCATCCTGCAACTCAGTGGTACGGCTTAGGGCTGGCAGGGCTGGCTTCTTCAGGGCCAGGAGCCTCTCCTCTGACCCACGCAGGTTGGGCACTGAGGCATTGCGCTGCATGACAATCAGGGGGCTGGGCTTCCAGGTATGTCTCAGGGGGCGTGTATCACTCCTGAACCAGGGAAAGACAATTATGTTAGTCAGAGACAACTGACCACTGCACCCCCACTCCTACAGTAAGACACTCAGGTTATGCTTCCCTCTGAGCCCACAGCTCTCATTCCTACTGCCCTCAGCCTCTCATAAGCACCCTCCTTGCTGCCTGCCACCTATTCTGGGAAGAAGCTCCCCATTCCCCAGCAGACTGGTTACTGCCTCAGCTACCTGACCCGGGCATATGTCTCCTCTTCATCCGCAGCAATCCAGGCAATGTCAGCCAAGGTAGGGACTGGGGGCACATCTCTTAAACACAGGTCAGAGATGTTGGGCAGAGTCTACAGGGAAGCAAAATTCATCAACAAACATTTACTGACACCATGATGAGCCAATCAGAAACTGTGCATAATACATAGGAGGACAACTTAATCCAGCACTGGGAGTCAGGAAAGCTTCCTAGAGGGGAGCAGAAGGTGGTTCCTGGTCAGAAACAGATTGAATAAGAGGCCAGATGCACAAGAGTCTGTGGGATTACAAATAGTTCAGGGTCTTCAGCGGGATTGGCCTCAGTTACCTTTCTTTCTTTCTTTTTTTTTTTTTGGAGACAGAGTCTCACTGTGTTGCCCCGGCTAGAGTGCCGTGGCGTCAGCCTAGCTCACAGCAACCTCAAACTCCTGGGCTCAAGGGATCCTCCTGCCTCAGCCTCCCGAGTAGCTGGGACTACAGGCATGCGCCACCATGCCCGGCTAATTTTTTCTATATATTCTTAGTTGTCCAATTAATTTCTTTCTAATTTTAGTAGAGACGGGGTCTCGCTCTTGCTCAGGCTGGTCTCGAACTCCTGAGCTCAAACAATCCGCCCGCCTCGGCCTCCCAGAGTGCTAGGATTACAGGCGTGAGCCACCGCGCCCGGCCCCTCAGTTACCTTTCAATGGAAATGGCCACTGTCTAAAACCACCATGCCCTCTGGTGAGAATATAGGTGCAAAGCCATCAGCAACCTGTTACAGCAACAGGAAATTTCTCCTGACTAGCTGTTTATAACACCTTTATAGCTAATTGGGATCTACACTGTTACAGGAATGCTGTTTTAAGCAAACCTGATAATTTGAATATATTTAGATAAAAGAAATGATTAATTATACAAAAGGAACCATAATAGGATTTCTTAAAATAGCCCTCAACCCAAATGAACAACCAAGGAATAGAAATGCTGAATAAATGACAGTGTTAATTGAAAAATTAGGAGGATTCTATCATACATTGACTGTGATTACAACAAAGTGAAAAACACGCATCCAGAAAAAGAAAGGAACTATATTAGGACATTAACAGTTACTTTGTAATGACTGTGATTATAGGTAATTATTTTCCTCTTCTACTTTCCATAATTTAATATTTTTATATGGTTAAATTTTAAAAATAAGTAAGATTCCCTTAAATAACATTTAACATAACCTAATTTATAGCAGAAATCTAGGGTTAATAAAATAATAATAGTTAATAATAAATGCACACCTACCCATTAAATTCATCTGTTTCTGCTACAAATTGGTAGATGGATCAGGGGTTGATAGCTCTTGCATTTAGTAGGGAACCTGGAACTCAGTAGTTAAGTGATACTCCAAGGTCACACAGAGGAGGACTTGCACTGGCCCAGGAGCTACTGCTAAGATGGGCCACTTAGGAGAAGCCTCCATTTGCTTTTCTGGATTAGGTCTGAATGTTCCTTTACTCTTGGTAATTAAATGAGTTAACACATACAAAGTACTTAGCACAGTGCCTGACACAGTATGTGCTCAGTAAATGCCAGCTAGTATTATAACTACTACTCACACATACTCCTGGCTCTGCGGGAACCTGTGCCCTTCATTGTCTCTGTCTCTGACAATCTGGCCAAAGGACTGGAGAGGGTACAGCTGAGTGTGGGGACAACCTCCACGGAGTCAGTCACACTTCCTAGCCATCTTTCCCTTGTTTCTGACGCTACTTAGGCAGCTAGGACTGCATCCTACCCAGGCCCTTTAGGCAATTCTGGATAACTGGCAATCTGGGTTATGGGACAGGTCTTCTCAACCCTGTTCCCCAACACACACTTCCAAACCCATTCCCGATTCTAATACCAACCCTGACATCTTTTAACTCCAGGTGCAGTTCCTACACATACTTTGCAGTTTAGCATCTGATACTCAAATTCAGCTCATTCATTTCTGTTTCTGAGTCCACATCCTTTCAGGCACATATTTCTCTCTCCTTTGTGTAGACACACAACAGAAGTATTTGTGTCCCAGCTCCCTAAATGCGGACACCTTAACCATCTAGCCTGGAGCTGGTGCTTAACCATTAGTTCCCAGGGGGAAGCAGCTGGGACTAATAAATGCTACTTAGTTTTCCATTAAGGAAGGGGGTCTCAGAGACTTGGGCCAGGCAGGAATCTCTGCTGCGCATTGGGTGCTAAAGGATCCCTAGACACAGGTAAGACTGAAGTAGCCCAGTAAAGGAGTAGCCAGATTGGCCAGAGAGAGAAGGCTGAGGAATTATGGCCTTGGAGAAACACCAAAAATAGCGGCTAAGTGACCAACTCTTAGGACTAGTGAAGAAAAGTAGAGTTTAACTCAAGAGTCACAACACTCAGTGTCCCAGGTGGAGACCTGCCAGGTTGCAAACAAACATCAGAGCATAGACAAAACTTGTGTGGAGATCTGGTTCAGCAAGGGCCTTTGGCCTGCTCTGATAAGCTGGACTGCTAAAGCCCGATGAAATCAGTCAATTAGGGGTAACAAAGATGCAAGATTATTAATTTGTGAGCAAACTGGAAATATGACTTGTGGTCACAGGTTTATATGTAATCAGGAAGGCACAGTGACCAGGATCCATTATAAGCACTCAAATATTTCTTGACAAAATGAAAAAGTGACCAGGAAACAACTTGCCTTGGCAATGCCAAGGGGTCCAGGGCACAGAAGCAGCACTGTCCCCCCATACTCTGAGCCTCTACTCTCCTTGCCCTTCCAGCATACTCACCTCAAAAGATGCCCGGGGACAGGGTTTCAGGGGTAGGTTGGTCCCGATTCTTCTCACTACACTTCGAGCAGCCCCATGTGGCTTGTTTTGCCAGATTGGGATAGTCTAGAGCAAAGAAAGACAAAGACAGCCATAACCTGAGAAACAGTGAGTCCAACTACTATCCTCCAGGGAAACGTACTTCCCTAACTAGGGGCAGGACACTCTGGGGGAGGGGGGGTAAGTCAAGTCTCAACTGTGAGGGCAGGTTCCCCAGTTGCCAGCCTTCATGTTGGCCAGCCGCCCAAGGGGACACCTGATGCTACTAAGGCAGTCAGTGTTGGGAGGGCCTAGTGAAAGGGTGAGGAATTAGGTGTAGGGATTGTTCAGGTTTTCCTCCCCTTTGTCTGTACAAAAAGGCCGAAACACACCGACTCCTAAAGTGCCCCAAGGTCATAGTTGGTTCTTCCTGTGGGGAGTGGGTGGAAGGGCAGCCTGCTCCAAAACCAGGCCTCGGGGGAAGGGAAGAACTAACTGGAGAGTTTCAGAACCTCACACGGCACACTTCAGCAGGACCAACCTTCCCCACCATACCCCTGCCCTGGGAATGCCCCTTACCACATTGGCTTCCATTCCTGATATTTCAACCAGCTCCTGCACTTGAAGGACAAGGCAGCTGCAGCTTGGGGAGGTGAGAGGTGTGACTCCTTCATATCAGGCCATCTAGAGGAACACCAGCTTTCCCGTCCTGTGAAACAATCCCCCACAGTGGGGACTCAATGGTCACCACAAAAGCCCCACAAAACCAGGCCCTGCAAGCCATGACTAACACCAAGTGTTCTCTGATGTTTCACAGGGGAGAAAAACAGCCCAAGAGGCTGCCTTCACCCAACATTGGCTTCGCCCAGTCCAGACCTTTAAAAGTTCTGTTCCAGACTTGCTGGGTGAGCTTGGCCAGCCCAGGGAGACTTCATGGGTCCTAAGGTTTCCTGAGGCAAAATTTCTAAAGATGTAAACAGAACCCTTTGGTAGCTACAAAGCTCATGGGAGAGCCAAACTGTAGATACCATCCAAGCTCAGGATTCATTCTTGAAGATAAGATGTAAAAGCACGGCATATGCCACCCAGCCTAGCACTGCTGGGCTCCTGCAAGGAGGAGAGATCAGAGAGAACAGGAGAACAAATAACCGCTCTTGCCATTCTCAGTCTACTGGGCTACAAGGAAAAAGAGCCAAAAATTTTTATCCTGGCTCAGCCACTGACTGGCTTTCTGAATGTTGGTTTCTCCATCCATAAAAAGGGGACAAGCAAAGCTGCCATTCTAGGTTACCTTAAGGGTCAGTGGGTGAAATGGGGGGTTTTGAAGTACTTAATGAACCGTTAAAACATGACACAGATGGGTCAATCACTCCTGACTACTCTTCACAATTGCCCTTGCATGGTAAACAGATGCAATCAGTGAGCTATTCCGTTGTTCATCAAGCACCAACAATACCCACTTATGCCAGGCCTTGTGCTAGACATGGTGGGGGCTATGGCAGGAGTAAGACAGAGTCATCCTCTCAGGGAACTCACAATCCAGAGAGAGATAGGACAGGAATACATAATCCCAGCAAAGGCTGAATATCACTACGTCTAGAGTTATACTCCTAGAGAGGGACACAAGACAGGTGGCCAGATGAGTTCAGCTCTCTAGCCCCAAGGCCCTGCTGTGAGTTTAGAGGGAGTAGGAAGGGAAAAAAAACAGGAGGAAGAGCACAGGTCCAGCACAGGCAGGTGAGGGATATGTAAAGAGGAGCAGAGTATGATAAGGCTGTAAGAGTAGGCTGGGGGTCAAGTCATGACAGCTAGGAATGCCTGGGTGAGAAGTCACTGGGGAGCTCCAAACAGGCTCTGAACAGGGCAGGGACTGGACTGACAAAGCAGCTCTTTCTGGAGACCTCCCTTGGAGAGTCTCTTTTCCACCCCTGGGAGAGTTAGGTGTCACTCACTTTATGATGCACATAGGGAAAGGAAGCTGGAGAGAGCAAGCGACTCGTCTAAGGTCACGCAGTGGGCATGCCAGTAGAAAGCACCTAAAGTCTGCCCTTGCAAGGGCTCCATCTTCTCACCTCAGTTCAAGCCTTTTGTCAAAGTCCCTGTGTGTGCCAGGCTCTATGCTAAACGTCAGTGCCGGCCACAAGTTCCACATCACAGTGCTACGCTGTGTTTCTCACTTTGGTCTTTACAGCCACCTCCTCTCCAACCTTCCTTCCAAAGACTCAGTTGGTCCTAACTTTCACAGAACACCAGAGGGATCTTTCCCAAACACATGCTAATCATATTACTCATTTGTTTAAAACTGGCTTGCTAGTGCCAACAGGATAAAATCTAGATTCCTCAACATGGCCTGCAGGGCCCTCCACAATCGGGGCCCGACCTCATGTTTCCCTGCTCTCTCTAGGCCAAACCCACTGCAGCCAAACCCCCTGCCGTCCCCTTGCCCTCCGCCCTCCAGCCATCCTGGCCTTCCTTCAGCCGCCGACACACCACCTCTGAGCTCTTGTCCACGCTGTTCCCTCTGCTGGAAACACCAGCGCCGCCTTCACCGCGCTCATTCTTCATCATTCCACAGAGCTCAGCTCGAGCATCACCTCCCTTCCCTGTGGCAGGGTCAGGTCCTTTCCTGTGCGCCCACAGCACCCTGCCTTTCCTTCGGAGCCCTCTCCCTAGATAACTCTGCAATCTGCCCTTTGTCTGAGGGCTGGGATTGCCCCGCGCACAGCACGGTGTCCGCCCAGGACACAGTGAGCACTTAAATGTGTCGAATTGAGAAATGGAGGGGGAACACCAACTTAGCTTTGAACACCCCCCCACACACATGTCAGTAGTTAAGAGAAGGTTCTTTCCCCAGTTCGCTGGCAGTACTGGCGGGTTCTTACCACCCCTGCGCTCCCGCAGCCCCCACGCGGCTGTTGTCATGATCTGTTTACTCGCGTCCCCCTTAGGAGACTGCGAGCTCCTCCAGAGCGGGCCTCGTCTCGGCACTGCTGGTCCCGGGCGCTCCACGGAGGCCGCGGCGCTCAGTGAAACTTTGCAGAGCGCACCAGCGGTCGGAGACCTGCGCCGACAGTCTCCCCGCGAGGGCCCGAGCAGCCGCGCGGGGGAAGCCGCTGCGAGAACCCGGCCCCGGACGCGCCTCCCCTCCCGCGCAACAGCCGACCCGACCGGGCCAAGGTCGGTCAAGCCCTCGCCGCCTGCCCGGCGGCCCTGGGACCCACAGGCCCAGGATCCGAGTGCGCGGGAGCCTCCGAGCCAGGGCCGAATCTCAGAAGGAGCGGCAGGGCAGCCCGGCCTGTCCAGGAGCGAGGCCGAAACGAGAAGCCTCTGGGTCTGGCTCGGTCACCGTTTGCTGGGTGACTTGGACGAACAGTTACCCCTCGGGGACTCAGTTTCTCTCCTGGCAAATGAGGCGGACAACATCAGCTCCCGCGTGAACAGGAGCCGCGGGCTCCGCACAGCGCCTAGCACCAAGCCCTTGCGTGAAGCCGGGCAGGAATTCCGCGCTACCGCCTCCCAGGTGACCCTAGAGCCTTTCTCACCTCAGACTCCAGCTCCGGGATATCTCACCTCACGGCCCCTCCTACCACAGTAGGGTCGCCCAACCTCACTTCCGCTGACCCGCCCCCCCCCCGGAAGCGATCCTTTGCAGCTGCGCACCGAGCCGCGCCCCCGCGCGCCCTCAGGAGGCGGTCCTGGCTCAGGAGCTGGGCTAGCAGGCCGCTGAGTGGGCGGGGCTCTGGCGGGGGGCGCGCCCAGATCCCGCGGGGGGCGCCCCGCTGAGACCACGCCCCCACGGAGGGCCGCATCCCTGGGAAGAGTGGGCTGCGCTTGGAGGTCCTCCAGCGCTGGTTCGTCGTGTCCGCCGCTTGTTGCTCTCCACGTTTAGTCCCATCCGGCGTCTAGAAGCTGGGGTCTGATTGTGTTGAAAACTCAGCCCCTAAAACATGCGACGTCCTCTGCCCCCACCCCTACTGCAAACTTAAGAATCCATACCCTGGCGTTCAAGCCGCGCATCTGGCGCTGACCATGCCTCCTCTCGCCCGGGTCCCCTTCGCAGTCTTGCTTCCCAGCCAAGGCCCTCTCCAAGTCTCTCTCCAGCGAGAATTGGCAGAATCGGCCTCTGGCTCCTCTGACTCCTGTAAGGACGGCCTTGCTGAAGTAACAGGAAGATATCTAATCCTGTAATTTTCTCATAACAGCTAAAAATCAATCTTGAGCTCTCCCTACTCATTGCTGTTTCTGTCCCAAACTAGCAGGCAACCTGCTGGAACTCTGTTTTCACAAACACCTGAAAAGAGCCCAGAAAGGAAATGTGAATCTTTCTCCTTGTATTCATCAGCTCACAGCCTTTAGAATCTGTTTCTGTAGCCTCAAGGAGTTCCTGAGAAGCTCCTGGGACAGATAGGGAGGTTAAAAAACCCTATCTCAGGGCCAAAATCACATCCCCTGTGATGGGCCTGACTACATTTCAGAGATAACCAAGTCTCCAGGAACAGAAGAAACAAGAAAGAGGGACAACTTGACGTCTCTCTTGACTGCCTGCTAATTACTTCACAACAATTACTATTTTTCTCTTTGTCCCCATAAAAGCAGCGAGGCCAAGTGGCATCTCCCTTCTCTTTCTTTGGGATGCCATACCATCTCTCTGCTGTCTTCCCTCCCTTCTCTCTCTTTTTCTCTCTCTCATTTTGTCTGTCCTTCTAAAGGGTAAAATTAATTTTACTCATATATCTTAATCTCTGTGAGAAATCTTTCCCCGCCTGTGCCATGAGCACCTACCAGGTTTTCCGCCCTAACAACTCCTGCCCTCCAGCGCTTTGTAGCTTTCTTCTATTTTAGCATCTCTCTCTCTCTCTCTCACACACACACACACACACACACACACACACACACACACACACACACACACGCACACTAAGTATATTCAGTGAATTTGTTGATTAGATGGGTAGCTTGATGGGCAAGGCCCCAGAGGCAGCGTGGGAGACAGCCACATTCCTCCCAGGCTCACTGACCCACTCTGCTCAAACCCTCACTGTCCTGGTCTCCATGGCATCCAGTTCCTGGGTAACATTTCCTCCTCCACCCTCAGCACAGGCTCAGGCTGTGCCTGGCTCCCAGTGTTAGGGTGGAAAGCTTAGTAGGTGGAGCATAGGTGGAGAAAGATTTTTTACTCAGAGATTAAGATATAAAAGTAAAATTTATTTTATCCTTTAGAAGGACAGAGAGAATGAGAATGAGAGAGAGAGAGAAGGGGGGGAAGAGAGCGGGGAGATGGCATGGCATCCCAAAGAAAGAGAAGGGGGTGCCAGCAGCGAGGCCAGGTGGGCTCGCTGATTTTAAGGGAGATGAAGAGAAAAAAATAGCAATGGCTGTCAGCTGATAACAAAAGCTGGGGCAGCAGGTAGATAACAAAAACTGCAAGGATGTCAGATTCCAAAAGTTGGTTTCCTGCCTTCCTTGGGGAAGGGATTATCACAGACGGGACTCTGTCCTCTTGAGATATGGTTGAGGCTGTACTGTTCTGCTGTTTACTCGGGAACTCTGTAAAAGCAGATTCCCAAAAACATTTTTTTTTTGAAAGAGAGAGATTTACATCTCTTTTCCATCCATTCAGCTTCTTTAGAAGTTGTACAAAACAGAACCCCAGCAGGGTACCTGTTTAGTTAGACAACTCCTAGGATTGATCTTTAACTGTTACTGGGGAAATTGTAGGATTAGGTATTTTCCTGTTGTTTTTGCAAGGCCGCCCCTTTCACCCAGGCTGCAGTTCCTTGGGCCCCAAGCCTGCAACCCCTATGTGCCAGGGACAGGGCTGGCTTCATGGGTGAACAGCCACCCTATGCAGTCGCAATGGGCCCTATGCTTGTAAGAACCCTGTACTTGGTTTCGTGCTCTGCTGTTGCCTTCTTGAAATTATGAATAATTTTTAACAAGGGTCCTGCATTTTCATTTTGCACGCACCCTGCAAATTATGTAGCTGGTCCTGGCCAGAGACCTCAGAGGTCATTCACCCTGGTCCCCTCCATATTTCAAATGATGCAGGTTGACTTCCAGGTCCAGCTCTCTTTCTAGGATGGCAAATTAATCATTACTTCACCCCCATGGGCAATGGCAGACCATGCAGTCTACACCAGCTGTCTTTTCTGGGTGAGGATGCAGGAAGGAGAATGAAGCCCCCGAACCTGGGGATTTACTCCATCTCCTGAGCCAATGACCACTCGATACAAGGTACAAAAAGCTGGTTCAACTCTGCTGTGTGGTTTATGCCCCAGAGTCCTTCCCCTATGGATCAGGCCAAGGCTAGGCTGAGGCTCTGTCCCTGCTCAGCATTTTTCCTTTCCTTCTTATGCTTTAATCCTTCTTTTACAGGTTTTTCTTGAAGTGCATTTCCTAAAAAAAAAAACAAACAAAAAAATCACCTCAAGCCTGTCTCAGGCTCTGCTTCTAAGACATGGGTTTAACGTTAGGATCTTTCTCAACGCAGAGCACCAGATTCTCAAAATAGTAAGTCCCACCACTTGGTCTATCACAGACTTATTTTGGGCAAGTCACTCAAGCCCTCTAGTGACAAATAAGATAGTCCCCAGAAGCATTCCAGCTAAATCTGCCCCACCACACTCCCTTGTCCATCCGCCACGCCAATCCCAACAGCAGGGAGAGTTAGACCACAGGACAGAACTGAACCACATCCCACTCAAAGGAAAAGCACTTAGAACCACTCTAGTCTCTTTAATTTTATTATAGGACACGTTAGGGACAGGGGAAGGAAGTGGCAGAGGGGTGACAAGTGGACAGCCTTGAGACATGGTGGGGGCCAGGCAGAGGCATCAGAGGAAGATTCATTCAGAAAACCCAAGCAATCAGCACCTTACATGGATGGATGTGGAGTCGCCCCTCGTTCCTCCCGGAGCGACAGCAGAAGGGCCCGCTGGGGCAGGGAGGCTCAGGGCGCGGGCTCCCGAGCCTGACAAGATGGTGGAGGCTCGTGGGAGGCTCAGGTGCCCTCCCTCCCGCAAGGGGCACGGAAGCACTGCCCCTAGCAGGACCCAGAACCGTCTGGGCTCGCTGGCTCACGCCCCACTGGGTCTGGGGATCAGAGGGGAAGGAGACGCTCCAGTTTGAGGCTTTCCTTTCCATCCCAGGAAAACAAGCAGGGAGAGGGGTGCAGTGCCAAACACAACACCCCCAAGTCAAGACACAGGCTCGGGAGTCACATGTGGGTTTGAATCTCAACTCTGCCACTGTGAGTGACCTCGGGCAAGTCACTGCGCTTCCCTGAGACTCAAGTTTCTTCATCTGCAAAATGGAAACAATGAACAGCAACCACGTCACAGGCTTGTTGTGGGGACTAAGTAAGAAAATGCACGTGGTGTTACAAGGTCCTCGGACAGAGATGGCGCTTGATGACTGGCTGCTCTTATACTGGACACAAAATTAAGAACCAGCCTGGCGTGAGGAAGGCTCAGCGGACGTTCCCACTGCAGGCAGGGGAACTCGACGAGCGCATGGCTACCTTCCTTCCTCCTCTGCCGGGAGCTGGGTGAAGCTGAGCCCTGGCCCTGGCGGGGCGAGGGGCGGGGGAGAACGGGGTGTAGGCGGCAGCCTGACTTCAGGCCTCAATGGAAGAAAGTCCGAGGGCACCTCGTGGGCCTGAGTGGAGGAGGGGATTGAGCTGCCCTCTGAGTGCACTGGGGGTACACTGATCTTCTGAGGACTGTTTTTAAGAAGCTGGGAGAGAAGGAAGGGAGGAATACTTCTTCCCGGGTGGCAACTGCAAGGACATCAAGCTGCGTCCATCCAGGATTTCAGACCCAGCCGTCATGGGGCTGCTGCCGGGAGAAGCCGTTGCCTCCTTCTTTCTCCTCAGCACAGGAGTTACAAAAATACCTACAAACTGTGAGAAAGGCCACGTAAAAACACTTTTCTGCATGTATAAAAAAGAGACTGGCCGTGGTCAGTGGCTCAGGATGTGGACCCAAAGCCCCGGAGTGGCTGAGGAGAGTCAGCGGCCACCACCGTAGGCAGCTGGTCTGGGCAGCCCCGGGCGCCGGGAGGCTGTGTTCTTTGGCTGGGCTGTCCTCCCGTGGGTCGGGGTCCAGGATAGGCGGTGGGAGCGCCCTGGGCCTCAGGGACCCCTCGGTGGACCCCCTTGCTAAAGGCAGAGGCTGCTTTACCGCGCACTTTCCAGACGGCTGGCCCCCAGCAAGTCCTGAACTCGGCGCTGAGTCCTAGCGCTGGGTGAGTGGAGTGGTCTGGGGAGCAGTATGATCCCCACTTCTGAAGGAGGGTCTGCCCAGAGGTTCCAGAAGGCTGTCTCAGCTGAGACTAATCCCAGCTGGGGACATCAGGCACAGGAGGGCAGCCTGGGTACGGCCAGGAAAGAAGGCTCTAGACAAACAGAAGTGCTGCCCTGGCAGCCCAGCCCTGGCCGGGGCTTCCTGATGTTTTGGGCGGGGGCAAAGGCAAGGAGAGAGCAGTGGCCCTGTCTTTCCGGCCCACTCCTCTCTCCTGATCTTCACCTCACGAGGGCCTGGGCTATGGGACTGGCTGGGGGATGTCCAGGGAGATCACCCATGGCCGGATTTGGGACGGGGTCCCAAGCAGCTTCTGGAGACAGATGGGTAGGAAAGGCCGATGGTGGCAGCCAGGGCTAGAGGTTGATCCACCCGGTCAGCCCAGGCACCCCCTGTCCGCCACCACCATGGGGGCAAACTTGGATGGCCGCCCTCAGTTGATCTCGGACTCCACGAGGCGGCCTATGAGTGGGGTGGGGGAGGGCAGAGTCTGAAGTGTGACATGGGCCATGGACCACTCTGGCTCTGGGCCGTGAGGGCCTGTCCATGACACCCCCGGCGGGCTCTCTAGGGCTGGAGCAGGGGCAGGCCGCGCCGGAGTCCCTCCTTCAAGAACTGCATGTAGGTGGCCGTGGACGGGTCTTCAAAGGTGGACGAGAAGCTGAAGACGTTGTTCTCGACGTCCTCGGGCTTCATGGAGGTGATGTCCAGGAAGTAGTTGGCGTTGATGTGGTGGACCTGGGAGAAGGGCTGGGTGAGGGGAGTGGGGCGGGGGTCCCCCAGGCTCCCTGTGCCCTCTGCCCTCTGCTCTGTGGCTGCTCGTGCTGTCTCGAGAGAAGCAGCTACTCTCGAGCCTTGGCGTCCCTGCTCCGAGGAAGGTGACAGGCAGGCAGTGCTGCCGTGAACGCTCTCCAGAACCTGCCCCCAGGGCTGCCTCTGGGGCCCCCTGATTTGGGAGCTCCTCCCACCTTGTCCACTAGGCGAAAACCTAACTCCTTCCAACTTCCTTTTCCACTACCCCTCTGCCCCCTGCCCCCCAATATGACTTCTCTCTCCTCTGTTCCTGTGACCCCTGAACACTCTGACTTCTGTCAAAATGCCCGCACATGGACGGCCTGATCCCCTCCGTCCTGCTTCAGTAGCGAGCTCCTTAAGGCAGAGCTGCGTCTTTATCTTTGTGCAAGAGCCCGGCACCGAGCAGGTGCCCAGGACAGGAACAGGTGAGTGAGCGAGCGAACGCACCAGCAGGTGAACGGGGGACTGCGTGTCAGACGGAGTCCCCAGGCAGAGTCCTGTCTGCCATCTCCATGACCCCAGGTCCCGCGCTGGCTCGAGCAGGGGAGCCAGTGGAGGTGAGCGAGGGGCTTGGCCCTGCCCTCCAGGCCGCTCCTCCCAGTTCCCCGACACTGAGTCGTCACCCTGAGCCCGGGACAGCGGAAGCCTCCTGCCGGCGCCCTTTCCTCTGCACAAGCCCTCGCTGGACACCTCTCCCGTGCCAGCCCCAGCTCCCGCTCCTGGACTGCTCCCGCCCTGGGATCCTGAGGAGGGTGCCACCCTCCTACAGCCCCAAGTCCCACGTTAACCACGCCTTGTGACCTAGGGATAAGGGGCAGCTTCGCTCAGAAGAACTCGAGATCTGAGGCTCATGGGCAGGCCTAGGTTCAAAACCAGCTGCACTTCTTAATTGCCTGCAACTTTTGCCAAGTCTGAACCTTTTTGAGGCCCACGTCCCTTATTTGTAAAGTGGGCATTTGTGATCATCCAGCTCCCAAAGCTGCTGAGGCCCTAGTGAGTGGCATGTAAGGGGCCCATAGGGAGAGATGGGGTCTTGAACCCTGGCCCTCTCTGTCCCAAGACCTGGCTCCTCCCTCCCCTTCCATCCCAGGGCTGGTGCGATGTTCCGAGGTGAGCCTTCCCTTCCGGGCCACATTTCTGTCCCCGGAGCCTGTCTGTGTCACGTGGGGATGTGTGGGCTGTGCTGCTGGACGATGCTCACCGCTGCTCAGTCCCGAAGCACAACGCCCACGTCACCATTCCTATTTATAGACACGATAACCGAGGCTCAACCGGGTTAGGAGACCAGCTGGGGACTTCACAGCCAGGAAATGTTAGAGCAGAGCCGAAGCCCGGGGCGGCCTGCACATCAGGCCCGGCCTGCTGCTCCCAGGGCTGCACTGCCTGGCCCAGGTGGGGTCCGGCGGGGGGCCTACCACAGTGCCATTGGGCAGGCAGATCATCATCTCCACGGGGAAGCTGTACTTCTCCAGGTGCAGGCCGGCCAGCTTCTTGTGGGACACGTTCTCCTGGTTGTTCTGCGGGGACAGTTGGCACGCTCCTGATGCCTCGGCCCCCTGCACTGTTCTGGGTCTCCCGCAGGGCTGTTCCTGCCCACCGGCCCGCTCACCTGCAGGTCCTCCAGCTCCTTCACGAGGGACCAGGTGCTGATGAAGCTCTCATTAAGGAGGGCGAGGATGGGCGAACTTTCCAGGACCGTCTCCCGGAGAGTCCGCCCCGAACCTGTTCAGGGAGAGGAAAAGACCAGAAGGGTGAGGAGCACCCACATGTCTTAGTAGGAATTTCAACCAGCAATAATCTTGCTCTGGGCAAACCTCCTGGGCTAGAGAATGGTCTCTGCACCCAGGTGAAATAACACATTCGAGGAACCTGCCATAGAGTAGGTGCTGAATAGATGGTAGCTGAAATTAGTATCAATATTCTGGCATCCTGGGCTGAGACTTGGGGTCGGGGTTCTGTCCGTCCCAGAGACTTGTAGCCAGTGACAACTTCTTAAATCCACTCAACTCTCTGTGCCCCGGGGCCTTTGCACAGACTGTTCCTCTACCCAGAACACTCTTCCTCCTGTCACTGGACAAACTTCTACTCATCCTTCAAAGTCTCAGCTTAAATGTCACTTTCTCCAGGAAGACTTCCCTGACCCCCCCGTTGTACACTCTTGTGCCACTCTGGGCTCGTACTTATTCATTCGATGTCTGCCTTCTGCACTACATTGGGTGCTCCCCGAAGGCAGGGACCCTTCTGCCATCCCCAGGCACACCAGCGCCTGGCCTCCCACTATGCAGAAGGTTTGTTGATTGAGTGGGTGAGGACAGGGGCATTGTTTTACTCACCTTTGTACCCACTGCTGGACACCCAAAGAACTTTGCATTTAGCCGATCTTTGGTGAATTTTCCCAATAAGGTCGTGCAATCCCAGTCTCTGGCACTGTTTTTTTTCTTTTTATTAAAATTATTCTAAGTAGCCATGCCGAGAACATCGGCACTATTTTCTCTCTCACTCATGGATAGCACTTTACAGAGTACCAGGCCCTTTCGCAGCCATGACCACCACTCTGGGAGGGAAGCATGCTACCCCCTTTTACTGTGGACAAAACTGAGGCTCAGGGAGGGGACGTTACTTGGCTAAGGTTACCAAGTTGGAAAGGGCTGAGTTTGAACCCAGTCTTCCAGGGCCCTTTCTTCTGCATCCAGTAGCTTCTTCTGGGCTCGGCAAAGAAACCCCCCAAGACCCTACCCCACGCCCCTGCCCTAGTGGTCCCAAGTCTGTCATGGCTCCAACAGGACAGTCCTGTTGGTCTCAGAGCCTCCTGTACCCAAGGTGTGGCGTTTCCCCCTTTGCCCTCAGAACTGGCCGGGCCCCTCACCTCAGCAGGACTGGTCGTCCAGGGCGCCCCACAGCAGGATCGAGTGCACCAGCTTGTTCTCAGCCCCGGCTCGCTCGAAGGCCTCGGCGAACGGCAGGTAGGTGACCTGGGGCCAAGCCGAGACAGGGTGAAGCTGCTGTGCATGGCTGGGTCCCATTGGGCCGTGAGTATGTGTGTGCGCGCGTATGTTTGTGTGTATGTGTGTGCACGTGTGTGCGAGTGCACGTGTGCGCGAAGGGGGTAGTGCTGAGCAGGGGGACACCTCCTCCAAGCTCTGGGTGGCAGAAGGGAGGACCAGTGGGCACAGGCTGCGGCAGCCGTGGCAGCAAGCCCTGCAGGTGCACGGCGCCCGTGCCCACCTGCTGCTCCACAGCCCTGGCCTCAGCCCCCGGCTCTGCCCTCGCCCCTGCCCGGCCTCACCTTCTTGAAGGGATACATGGCCACCTCCAGGCGCCGGGCGGCCTCCTCCCAGCTCAGCTCCTGCTGCCACTTGATCTCCTCAAACACGAACTGGAGGGGCTCGCCCGAGGGCAGGCGGCTGTCGATCATGTTCCCATCTTCGTCCAGGATCATGGAGGGCACCGAGGGGCCCGCGGCCTCCAGCTCCATCTGGGCCAGAGGTCAGTGGTGAGGGATGTCTCAGATGGGCAAGAATCATCACAGGGTCTTGAGGGACCCTCAAAAACACCCCACTCATTGTAGAGGTGGGGAGGTGGGGGCCCCGGGAAGGGTAGGGCCCTGCAGCTGGGCCCACCTGGGTAGGAACTACCTGTGTGCTCACCTGGGGTATGTAGCCGATGTCCACCTCCATGTTGCTGCTTTCGCTGGCCCCGTACAGCCACTCCATGTCCACATTCAGGGACCTGGGGACGGGCAGGGCAGAGCAACATCGTCATCAAAGCCCATTAACCATGTCAGGCTTTATCTTCCTTAACACACACAACTGTCCCCATTCTATGGATGACAACAGCGAGGCTTTGCAAGGTAAATCCACATTCTCAGAGCCACCGGGATTCTGGCTGCAGAGCCTGGGCTCTCGCCCCTCCCCAGGCTGCCTCTTCTAACGCACCGGAACCACATCGCCCTCCACTGGCCCAGCTCCTTCCAGTTCACAAAGGGCTGTCACAGCCACTCTCACGTACTGCCCACGACCCTGCAAGGCAGAGAGATGGTCAGTGCCCCGCCGCAGGACACAGAGTGAGGCAGGAGTGAAAGCCGGGCACTGTTGTCCCTGGGGCCTCTTCCGCTCCCTCTCCAGCCTCCAGGACGGCAGGTGTCTGGCCTGATCGGTGCAATCTGCAGATCCACCACACGAGGGAGCCCCAGCACTGACAACCACCCACTGCCACTGTAGGCAAAGCAGGGCAGGCGTGCTGGGTGCCCTCAGAGCCGGTGGGCAGTCCCCACGGCCTCAGACACAGGCCCAGGAGCAGCTGGTCCCGGGGCTGGTCGTTGCCTCTCTCCTTCTGTCCTATCTAGTCTAGGACCCCCTCCCCATCTCCCACCCGAACAACCCTGGGTCGGAGGCAGGTGTGCCTCTCTGCCCAGGCTGTCTGGACCATCCTCTCCTGCTCTGTGGGTGAAACAGGTCGGGAGGTGGGGAAACTGAGGCCAGGGAGGGCCAGGGCTTTGCCCACAGCCAGGCAGCCCATTGGTGCATGGCTGAGACAACAATGGGCCTCCTGGCTCCCAGCCCAGGTCTTATTGCTGTACAGGGGTCACTCAGGCCCGCTAGGCGGTCACTTACTAGCAGGGAAGAAGCTGGAAAAATGTGAAGCAAGAGCCTCCTGGGTCCCCTGCTCTGCTGACAGGTGGCTAACCCTGATCAGGTGAGGCAGACAGGCAGGTGGCTGGCACAGAGCTGTCCCATAAGCCCCTCCAGGGCTCCGTGGCTGTGGAGGGCCTACTCTCTGGCCTTTGTGTGTGCTGTTCCCTCTGCCTGGCTAAACCCTCTCAACCCCAGGTCTCTGCTTAGATGCCACTTCCTCTAGTAAGCCTTCCTGGACCCCGACCAGCTGGGTCCCTGCCCACCTGCTGGTGTCCCCTCGGCACGAGCAGGCCGTGGGTATGTCTGTCTGGGGTCTGTCGGCAGTATGAGGTGGGGAGGCAGCAGCTTCAGGGAGGGACTGTTGGCTGCTCACTGGGTCCCAGGCACAGAGGGAGGGCCAGGCCCACAGAGTGCCTGGGAAATGTTGGCTGGGCGATGGGGTGACCCCCAGCCCGCCCTAGGCTGCCTCCCCCTGGGTAAGCTCCCCGCTGGCTCTGGGGCCCCTGCTTCTGAGCTCCTGGAGCGGGGACAGGACACATTGTGGCAGGGTGCCGAGGCTGGGCCAGGCCCGAGTTTTCACCTGTGGTTGGGCACGAAGAGCCGGAAGTCACGGATGTGGGTGGCATCTTTGGAGAGGATGATGTGGCCGGTGAACTGGCCAGGGGAGAACCAAAAGGGGAAGTCGGGTGGCTCGCTGAGCTGGAACTCGGCGTGGATCCTGCAGGGAAGGGCATCTGCTGGGCCAGAGCCGCCACCGACTCCCACAAAGCCTGGGGATCCTTGGCCAGACCCCCGTGTTGGGGAGAGGGCAGGGCGGGGGAGGAAGGGGTGGACCGGGGAGCAGGTGTGGGGCCCTCCAAATGCTGCTCATCCTTCAAGCCCAGCCCGGAAGCCTTGCTTTGACCCTCCCCCGAGTTCCCACAGCTTCTAGCCAGTGCGCTAGCAGTGTCCTCGCCCCCTTCTGTGTGGATGACACAATCCCGGCCACCAGCCCCCTGCAAAGCACAGCTTTTCTCACTGAATTCTCATGTCCCCTAGGAGGATACGCTGATGAGGAAACTGAGGCTCAGAGAGCCACAGCTGCCTGCCCGAGACCACAGGCCGGGAAGTGGTGGAGTTGGGGGCCTCGAGCCGGGGCCCTCCCTCCCGGTGTGGTGCCCTTTGTGCTGCCCGGCACTCCCAGGCCCGGCTGCAGGGACCCTCACCGGAACAGCACGGTGTAGTGGAAGTTGCTGATGGCCGTCAGGCAGGCCACGGCCCCCTGAGGGGCAAAGCGGGTCTTCACGAAGGGCCGAGGGTGGAACATGCTCAGGAGCCGGTGGATGATGACCTGGGGGACAGAGGGGAGACCGGGCTGGCTTGCTGGGCCCTGCTGAGACTGGGGCGTGGCGCATGTCCAGGGGGAGGTAGGACAGCAGGTGGGGCAGGCCTGGCACTGGGGTCCAGGCGCAGACAGGGAGGGGCCGCTCCTGGGCTGGGGCAGAGGCCCCGGGTCCCATCAGGCTGCCCTCACCTCCTTGCCCTTGGGTGGCGGTGGGTAGAAGCGGTTGTTGGACAAATAGCCAGTGAAGACGCTCAGCTCGCTGGGGATGATCCACCAGGGCTCGCCCAGCTCCTGGCCCGGAGGGGGAAGGAAGGGCTGGAAGTGGCGGGCGGCGAACACTGCACTTGGCGAGGCTGCGGTCGTCCAGTTGCGGAGGCCGGACAGGGCGAGGCGGGAGACCTGCAGTGGGGAAAACCAAAGCTCTGGGGCACTGAGAACCACGACTCTGGTGTCCCCTGTCCCATGTGTGGTGGAGGTCTCCCTCGAGCTCTGAGCCAGCCCACAGGCCGAGGAAGCAGAGGGACCCCGGAGAGGCTCCTGCCCTGGTGACAGCCACAATCTCGGAAACATCTTGCCAGACAGTGGCTCATCTCACCCTCTCCGGCCCCAGCCCGAGAAGCAGATCCTGCCCACCCAGGTACAGTCACCCCCAGAGCACCTCGCTCTAGGGCAGGGAGCTGAGGGAGGGGGCAGGGGGCCACCCAGGACTGGGAGGGGTGGGGCTCCAGGCCTCACATGGTCCTGCCTCCATCCTTTGCTTAGCCGGCAGACCAACCGCGATGCTGCCCCAAGATGCTGCCCTGGCTTCCTCGCCCCTCCACCAGCCTTGCTCTCCGCCCCTAACCCCTCTCTGTTCCTGGGGCCAATGTCCCACTGGTGAGCTCAGAGTCTGAGTCTGGAACGAAGTCTGGGGAAGGGGGCAGGTAACCATGTTGAAGGTTAGGTCTCTAGGGTCAAGGATGAGACCACAGAGGAGGGGAAGGACGGCCACCCCCAGAGAGGGCCCTGCCTCAGGCCGGGCACTGTGGGCTAAAGGCCTTCCCTAAGCCCTTGTCCTCGTCAGTGACCACCGTGCCTCTCTCTGGTGAGCTGATGGGCAGGAGGGACGGGGCTCAGAAGCCGTGGGGCTGTCCAGGCTCCGTCCCCCTTCCCCGCCCCCACAGGGCAGGCGCTCAGGCTTGGTGGGAGGTGGGTTAGGGTGTGCAGGGAGCGCCCAGTGAGAGGGATTTAACAGGCAGGCTCAGAGCAGAGCTCATGTGCTGGGCCAGGCCGAGCCTGCCCACCCCACTGGGTCCTGCTCACAGGCTGCCACCCCTGCAGGGGAGCTGCGGGCGAGGGCTTGGCGGGGCTCTGCGAGGGAGCACCAGGGCTGGCAGTGCCGCTCCTGCCCTGTCCCTGTGAGTGCACGTGTGCCCCAGGCACCTGCCCACGCTGCTCTTGCTGCTCTGTGCAGGACTCCTCTGCTCAGACAGCCCGTCGCCACCAAACCCGTCTCCACCCCAGACCTTTCCGCGGAAGGTCAAACCTGAGTTTCCAGCCACTTACTGGACTCTCCCCCGGACGTCCCCCGGGCACCTCGACTTCCACATGTCCAAACTGACCCCATTCTCTCCCCACCAGGCACCCCCACACATCTCGGCAGGCGGCCTACCACGTACCTGGTCACCAGCCAGAAGCCGGAGTCCTCCCCCCTCCTCCCCCACCCCACTTCCCATCAGCAGCCACGCCCTGCCCACCCTGCCCTTCCTTTCCCGGCATCCTCCAGGCCGCCCCTGCCCTCCAGCACCATTGCCCCCCTCTGGGAACTGCTCTTCCTGCCTCCCATTTCTCCCTATGCTACGCCCATCCCTGCGGGCCTGGGAAGCCCAGATCTGATGAGGAAACTCTTCTTTAAAACACTGTGATGGTATCCTACTGCTGCAGAACAAAGGCCAAAGGCAGGCAGCTTCTCTCCCAGCCCCACTGACCGCGATGCCCCCGCACCTGTCCCGCGTGACCAGGGTCCAGCCAAACCAGCACTCTGGCCTCGCTGACTGGCCTGGCACTTCCTGCCTTCAGGCCTGTGTTCGCGTGAAGTGGCCTTTTGGCTGCATGGGCCGGGCAAAGAGAGACAGAGCCCCTGCAGAGGGAGCAGCGTGTGAGAAGGCTCATGGCTGGAAGGCAGCGGTGATTTGGAAGGCAGGCAGGCTGTCCGATGAGGTCGGGACAGGGAAGCCGAGAGGAGACGGCAGGAGAGCGCGAGGCAGGCAGGGTCTCGGGTGCCTTTGTCCCTGATGGGCTGCAGACCTTCCCCACGGGGCTTGGGGTCGGGGGGCGGCAAGGATAGCATTTGCCCACCTCCTACCCCCACCTCTTCAGGATCCTTTCTCATCCTACAGCCCCCGCCAGGGACCGAATCTCAGGTCTAGCTCATCAGAGTTCAGCAGAGAACCTGTCAGGTGCCAGGCACCGTGCCAGAGGCCTGGGGGTAAAGGTGGCCGTGCAGAAAGTCACGAATGTCACAGGCGAGGCAGCCGCATTCACAGGGTCTTCCCCACACTTGCATTTTCTCCCCTCAGAACCCTCCTACCGCTGCGGTCAGCCCGGCTGAGCCCCCCTCGTCCTGCAGCCTGTCAGATGCCACTCCCTCCAGGAAGCCACCCCAGATTCCCCCATCTGGGGTGAGGCCAATGCTTCTCTCTCCTGCTCCCCTGCAGACTGTGTGCCTGAACAGCAGGGATGGCCTCATACCCACTTGGACCCTAGGGCCTGGCATGGGCCCGGCTCAGTGGGCACACAGAGGGCAGCTGACAGAGGAAGGACAGAGGAACAGAGCACAGACCCACCCACAGGAGGCCAGTGCTCAAAGGTGATCCACTGTCTGTGGGCCCACCCATGGGCCACCCCCACCCCGAACTCACCCCGAGGAAGCCATCTTTGCTCTTGGTCATGGTCTCTAAGAGCAGAGGCTGGAATCGGGCTTCTATGGTGAGCGTCTCCTCACTGGGATCAGGGGGCAGCCCGTCCTCCTCGTAGCTGGCTGCAGGTGTTGACCCTGTGAGACACAGATTACTAGAGAGGCCCTGCCCCCTGCCCCCTGCCCCGTGGCTGCAGGCCCTCCCCTCTCTCAGGACATCCACGCCAGCTGGTGATTAAGGGAGCCAGGCTTGGAGCCCAGGTAATGGTTAACAATCACCAAAGGAGCAACCAATGTATCACATTTTAGTTTTATAATAGCTCTGGGAGGCAGATAACATTATTACCAATTCATTTTACAAAGGAGCAAGTGGAGGCTCAGAGAAGTGACTTCCCCAAAGTCACACAGCTAGGTAGTGGGCGAGTCAGGATTCAGACCCAGGACTGTTTCACTCCACATCCGTGATTAACCATGACCTGATCTGGATCTCCTGGGACAGAGAGGGACTCAGTCAAGGGAATCAGAATAATGAACCAAAGCAAGAAGCAGACTCAGGCTGTCCGCGGTGTCACAGAGCGCAGGTTTGGGAGAAAGGAGACCTGCCTGTCTCTGCTTTTCTAGGTAGCTCACTGCCCTGTGTGTATAGGAAGGGGCCGGCTGAACTTGATGTCTCAGATCTTTTCCTGCTCAGAAATCTGACCATCTGTCATCTTTCAAGTGTGGAGGTAGTCATTCTGAAGGTTGAAGGGAGAAATGAAACCTATTTCAAAAGGGATGACTAATAGACACCGGTAACAGAATAAAGCAGGGTAGGTCTCATCCTGTCTGCCCCCCAACGGCAGGGGTCCCGGTGCGGAGACGACGCCTGGCGTGTGTAGACTCATTGGCTGGCGGGCTGAATGTCTGCATTAGAAGCAGCTCTCAACCAGGGTGTCCTCAGAATCACCCAGGATGGCTCTTTAATCTACAGATGCCCAGACCCCTCCACAGACCTACTGAATCGGAATCTTAAAGGACCAGAGTCAGGAAACTGCCCTTTGCATTAGCGCTCCCCAGCCGCTCCCAGGCAAATCCCCGTTCTAAAGAATCACTGTTATTTCTGCATGTGTAAGTCCATGCAGGAAAACCTCCAAAACGCCACTCTGGAAATCTGAGAGGAAGCAGCAACAGGAGTGTGCAGGGTTATAAGTCTGCTTTGCCTATTCAATTATCTTACTGGTATTACAGATAATTATTAACAATAATACTCAACATTTTATAGCCCTTTGGCTTTCTAATAAAAAGTTTTATTTCCTGACTTATAGGTAACATTTGCTCAATACGGGCAATTTGTAAAATGTTTAAGGTGTAAGGCAGAAAATTAAACACATTCATAACTCTACCAAATAGAACTGTTTGCCTCTATTTCCTGCTTGGATATGATTTTCCCCCCCTTTGATTTCTCAAAACTTTTGCATTCACAGCCTAGAGGTAATAAAGGGATTCTTGCCCCCTGCTGGAGAAAAAGATTTATGTGAAAAAAATTTCAAGTGCCCCCAAGCCCAGCAGGCTTTGCTAACATGTCATTATGAGGGAACTCTCAGTCTCTGGCCATAAAAACACAAAGGCGGCTGTGCTAATGCGCACAGAAGTGTATGCGAATAAGAGGTAAAAGCAAAGCCACAGGGATGAGCTGTTTATCCACCCATCTGCTCTCACGACAGAACTGCCTGCCACTGAGACACGGACACACGTGGATACCCAACCCTCCAGCAGATTAGCATTTTCCATCTGACCTTCCTTCTCGGGCAGCGACCACAGGTCACTGGGTTACCCAATCCACCCCTGAAACACACAAGGCCCATAACCATCTTTGTGCTTACGCAGTGGAGAGCAGCTGGCCTCCCCCTCTGCCCTTCCCATCTATTGACTGACTCGTGCCACACAATCTGGGTAACAAGTAGGTGTCCAAGAGCATAAGTTGGAGAATGTCATGACAAGTAGGAGAGAAATGGACACAGAGTTGGGGGTGGGACAGTAAGAGGAGCATTTTATAATTCATTAAAATGTTTCACACCCTCCTCTTTACCAAAACACACAAAAAAACCAAAAAAAACCGCTGATTACAACTAGGCAAAATGAATAGCAAGAATGGGACAGGGCCAGTGCCTGTAATCCTAGCACTCTGGGAGGCCGAGGTGGGTGGATCGTTTGAGCTCAGGAGTTCAAGACCAGCCTGAGCAAGAGCAAGACCCCGTCTCTACTAAAAATAGAAAGAAATTAGCTGGACAACTAAAAATATATAGAAAAAATTAGCCGGGCATGGTGGCACATGCCTGTAGTCCCAGAGACTCCGGAGGCTGAGGCAGGAGGATTGCTTGAGCCCAGGAGTTTAAGGTTGCTGTGAGCTAGGCTGATGCCACGGCACTCTAGCCCGGGCAACAGAGTGAGACTCTGCCTCAAAAACAAAAAAAAATTAGCCGGGTGTGGTGGCACACACCTATAGACCCAGCTACTTGGGAGGCTGAGGCAGGAGGATTGCTTGAGCCCAGGAGTTTGAGGTTGAGGCAGGAGGATTACTTGAGCCCAGGAGTTTGAGGTTGCAGTGAGCTATGATGACGCCATTGCATTCTAGCCCAGGTGACAGAGTGAGACCCTGTCTAAAAAAAAAAAAAAGAATGGGACAGGAATCTGACGGCAGCTAAGCAGAGTTTCAGATTTAGTAGTAACAGTTACGGCTCCTGTCTATTGAATATCTGCTGCATATTGGTCACTTTGCAGTGATTAGATTTTCTCTCCTCCTCAAACCTGTGAGATGGTGCAGGACCCTGGAGCTCGAATGCCCGGGTTCTAACCCTGGCTCCCCACCTTTCTAGCTTGGGCAAGTTGGTGAACCTGCCTGTGCCTTTGTCTCCCAAATTACAAACACAGGGATCATGATGGTGTCCATCTCACAGGGCTATTGTGAGGTTTAAGGAAGACGCCCACAGGAAGTGCTTAAAGTGATGTCTGGCACCTAGGAGGTGGCCGAGGAATGTTATCATGCACAAACATGAGGAAAATAGGCTGAGGGGTGCTGAAGCAGCACGCCCAAGCCAACAGTTAGAAAGTGTTAGAATGGGGAGGAGCCCAGGCCACAGAGACCCACGATCTTCCCCCCGTCCCAGCCACCAGCCTCTCCTGGTACCTGTCAGCTTCTCAGCAATGGGCTTGAACTCCTCAGGGCTGATGTACATATCCTGGTCAGTGTCCAAGGAAGAAAAGAGGAAAAGGCCTTCTGTCCCCAGCGTCTTCAGTGCAGATTCCTGCTTGGGAGGAAGGGACCCAGGCTGAGCACCCTGGCTGGATGCCAGAGTCTCCTTGTCCCCAAACAGGCAGCTGCTTCCTGATGGAGCAGCTCCCACCACCATCTTCCTGAGCTCTCTCAATATCTCCTGGTCCATCTGTCCAAATGTCACCTCTGAACTGCCCCAGAGCCCCCAGACCCCCTTGAAGATCCTCCTGGTCCCTGCTTCATCTGCTGTCTGCTCTCTAAGCCCCCTCCCAGCCTGTCCGCTCCCAGTCTCCCCCATCCCCCTTCTGTCCTACTTCTTGCACCCACTGTCCCCTCCTGTCTCCCCTCCCCACTGTCCCAGGGCTCCCTGGTCACCCCCC